ATTTTCAAATATGAGCTACTTCATTGAGGCTAATTTGGATTTTGCTCTAGTTTGATTCACTGGCTCTTGGGGTGATATTTTTGAAAATCCTGATCCTGAAGTTGAGCTCTAAAACATCATCCAAATAGACAAGGCATACTTCCCACGTAAGTCCTTGTGGTACAAAAGTTACGGGGGCGTTACAGAGTTCAAAAGGTATTAGATCTGTTCCAACCGACATGAAAACCGTTCTAGAACGGTAATTTCCATTCGATCAATTCAATTCGATCATTTCTCAATTAGGAAAAACATACAAACTTATTGTAAAATAGGTAGGCAATTGGAAATTACTGGTTCTGGAGCGGTTCTCATCTCAGTTGGAACAGAGCTATTATCTTGAATTGGCAAAGAGCACTTCCAGTGGAGAGCGATGTCTTCTCTTTGTCTTTTTCATTAATTCCCACCTGCCAGTATCCGCTTCTCAAGTTTTATTTAAAAGCATGCAAGAAATTCCAAATATAACCTACTTCATTAGGGCTAATTTGAATTTTGCTCTAGTTTGATTCCCTGGCTCTTGGGATGATATTTTTGAAAATCCTGATCCTGAAGTTGAGCACTAAAACATCAACCAAGTAGACAAGGCATACTTTCCACGTAAGTCCTCGAGATACGATTTCCATCAACCTCTCAAAAGTAGCGGGGGCGATACGGAATCCAAAAGGTATGAGCTCTGTTCCCACCGACATGAGAACCGTAATTTCCATTCGATCAATTCATTTTTCAATTAGGATAAACGTTCAAACTTATTGAAAAATACGTAGACAACTGGAAATTACTAGTTCTGGAACAGTTCTCATTTCAGTTGGAACACAGTTATTATCTTGACTTGGCAGTGGAGAGCGCTGTCTTCTCTTTGTCTTTTTCAGCAATGCCCACCTACTTCTCAAGTTTCATTCGAAAAGCATACAAGAAGTTCTAAATATGACCTACTTCATTAAGACTAATTTGGATTTTACTCTAGTTGGATTCCCTGGCTCTTGGGCTGATATTTTGAAAATCCTGATCCTGAAGTTGAGCTCTAGAATGCTTTAGCACCTTAATATCAGTGGTAAACCTGCTTCAACGTCAAAAACTGTCTTATCCCAAGAAAATAGAACCAACAACAAATCCAGTCTTCCTTGTGAAAACTATTGTTGATAACAGATCACAATTATCATAAGTAGAATCTTTTTTCTTCTTTATTGCTTCAACCATACTGGCTTCTGACGAAACTTGAGGTGAGGTGGTAGTCGGAAGAAGTTTCTTGTGTATTTACAACGATGTCGCATTTTTCCAGCATTGTTAGATGACAAGCACATCTAATTTCTCTACAGTACACTTCAATTCTCTGATAAGTTAAAAATAAAAGAACGAGCCCCAAGATTTTGTTCAGATGGCTTCCATTCCATTGTGAGTAGTTTCCGGCGAATTGACTAGGAATTCCAACTCTTTGGAAAATACTTTGCAATGCTTTCCGAACATCCAAAGCTGTTCCGTGATATTAGTGACTATCAGTCATTCGTTGCACCATCAAGGAATTACATTTTCTGTCTGCTTTCTTCAGTTTATCTTACTCTTGCCTCAGAACCCGAGGACATGGAAATAAACAAATCATGAAGTCGTTCTTTGAAGTAGAGGAATCTGGATCTGGATTTGGTAGAGGGTGTCATATGACGGGTCACGGCACTAAGGCCTCATTGGACCGCTTGTGCAACCTCCCGGTCCTACCAATTCTTCAGGCCATCGTCCAAATTAATGTTTTGAAGAAGGCGGTGATGTAGTCTGAAGGGGCTTCCCTCAGAAAGGCTGTATCAGGCCTGCACTTCCACATAATCGATTCTCTTTGATCCAAGACGGCATCGCAGTGGCAAATCAGATGATCCACCGTCTTCTGGATATGTTTCCTAAGCTGGCACTGCTGGCAGGAGCCTGTCAGAAATCCTGTGATGAAACGGAGGTTTTTCCTTGACATGTCCAGGTACGTTCTTGCTGCAACTTCATTAGAGCAGATGAGCAGCTTCCTAGCTAGTCCACAGGAGTACCACTCATTCCATCTGACGTAAAGTCATGAAGGGTGATTGATCTTTTTGATCATCCGGCTCAATCACCAATTTGGCGCCTGAGCAGGGACTGTTTAGATTTAAAGTTGGGAGTCATTTCATTGTAGTTTCCCCTCCCAAGATGAGCGATAGTTACGACTACGACCGTAACCACCACCACCGTAGGTACCATCGCCCCAGTACCGAACCCCTTATTAAATGCCCCAATCGACTCCAACGATTCTCGTGTAGGGTGAATCTATATACAATCTCCGGAGACCTGAATTTGTCGCGGAGTTACAAAAATTCGCACTGAACACAACTGGCACTGTGGACGAGCTTCGAAGACGCCTGATTAAATTCATCGGGGATGGAAACCCCACCCCAACAAAAGTAGCACCCTCTTCCGTCTTCCCTGCGAACCCTACCACCACTACGGTACCTTCAATCATTACCCCCCTGCCGTCCCCGTCAATCCAATCCCAGACCGGCCGCCTCCCAATCAACCAACTCCTAGCTGGTGTAACAAGACCCCCTGCGATACCGACCGCTAATTTTTTACCGAAAACAAGGCACTGAAATATCCAGTTTTCTGGGCGAGGAGACCCCACTGCTTTTCTGGGGCGACTGGTAGAATTCTGTGTCACACAACCCCGACAGTTTGCTATAGGTTCTTCCTGAACTACTCCAGAGAGAAGCCGCTCTGTGGTTCCGAAATAATCGACATTATTGGCAAAGCTGTGATGAGTTCATTCCAGCATTCCGCACTTGTTATTTTCCGGTGAACTATGAGGTGGACTTGGAAGCGAAAATTAGCCGTCGACTTCAGCGTCTTGGGGAGTCCGTGATAGCTTACGTTACCAACATACATGATGAGGAGGCATGGTGGAATTTCCCCAGTCCAGGAACTCCAGTGACTATACCGCAACTTGCATCCCGTATACCTGTTGCATCAAGAAACATATCAGTAAAGACAGACCCGTCAGTCATGGAAGTTGCTGTAATCGTCATTAACGATGACAATGAAGAAGTTGAATGCGTTGCTGTTGGCAAAATTGCAAAAAACATCAGCAAAGCAGAAATAGAATACATAGTAAAGGCTATTGCAGATACAGTTTTGCATAAGGTGTTCGAGAATCGACATCCGAGTACGGAGCTGGACAAATGATAATGTCGTGATTCCACAACTACCACCTCCACCTCCAATGCCAAATATTGTACCAACTTTTAGGCCCAGGTGTTCAGTTATATCCTACTCAAACTTGTTTCCAATCTGGAAACCTCTACTTGGAAGACTGCCAAGACTAAGTTCTTGTTTTTTACGAAAGACAGAGACACCAATCTTTAGTCGTGCTGCTGAAATGCCATCTTTATCGTTAAGAGTTATTACTCCCGTGATGCAACAAGAAAGCAATCCAATTACCACTCTAGTGGCGCCAACTATATCGGTAAAAATTCAGGATTTGCATCAGAATTAGAGTGAGAATGTTTTATGGACAAAAAGTAATCTAGTTACCACTTGAGTAGCCCCAACTATATATTTTAGTTTAAATCATTTTTATATAGAAAATTAATTTAGGTTATCCGAACTCTAATTACATAGAGGAAACTAACCGACATTAGGTACATCCGCCGATCCGACTCCTATGATATTCAATCCTTTCCAAAGATGGTGCGAGAATATGAGCTACTGAACGCTCCTGAGGAACCCCGGCAGAATTCGGTCCTTCGTAATCCTGTTTTCACAGACCGACCCCCTCAAGTTAACCTACAACCTAATTAGCTGGCCTTACTCCCTTAGTCCGAGTACCGAATGTAAACACCGCACCCCGACAAACCACCATGGATGTTGGTGATGCGGCCAAACCAGACATCTTGGGGATATCTGCACGAACCCACGGAAACTGTTCTGCTCTCGTTGTGGAACTGAAGGGTTGCTATCCCGATACTGCCGCTGTACCCCGGGAAACTAGATCCACGCCGTACTGCTACGAGACCAGTACGGATTCCGCCCTTGTCTCACCAATCCTGAGTCTCCGAGAGTCAGAGTAGCAAGAGGCAGATCGGAAGAACCCGGTCCCAATATCGGAAAGCTGGTAGCTGCCTTCGCCAGTCTGTCTACTAAGCTAATGCCTTTGACCCACCCAAGAAACATTTCTTAAAGATTTTCTAGGACATACCTGGGATGTTGCTTGCATCATCAAAAAATTGTAAAAATGTGAAATGTGTCTTTACCTCGTATTTTGTGTTATTCGCAAAAGCAGAAACTAAGATCGCTTTCACAAGAAGATCCCATCCCGACAGAATCCACCTGAATTGGGAAATATTTCTAAGTTCTTTCGGGCTACTTAACATTCAATTGTTTTATTGCCAATTTTAATGAGTCCAATTCTTCATTGCTCGACTATCATTATTTTGTTCGCGATGTCACGATGCTATCGGCTTATTAAAATAAAGGTTAGCCGACCCCGAACACAACTCTTACACTTGTTTCGATATTTTTTATGTTCGTCGTTAAACTCCGAGAGAAATAATTCTTTATGCTAATACAGGTGGGGTTATTGGAGAATCTGAAACATTTGTTCGAGTCGTAAAAAATTAGATAAATATATAAGTTTCACAATGTTCGCGATGGGTAATAAAATATTCCAACGGAGAATGGCAGCTTCGATTAAAATTGTCATTAGTTGAAATGTAAATATGTAATTCTGGGGGCCCCCCCTGAAGAACAGCATCGGTAAAACAAAATTTGATTTCCATACTGGACGATATGGTATAGTCTTTATGCAGTTGAAATATAATATTCGTCTATGTAATCGATAGTTTAAACAAACCATTCAAATTTATTGTCAGTCAATTTATTTGTTTAGGGAAAATGATACTTCCATTTTAAGTTATAATAACAGACTCTGTTTATTTAGGTTCAAACAAAGTGGCAGTCAACAAAAATATCTACACCATATACAATTATACCAGCAGAGCATACATTATTTACAAGATTTTGAGATCAATCTGGCCAAAAATTGATTGAGAAATTTACTTTGCAGCGATCAAAGGAGCGGCAGCAGCGTACGGAGAAGCTACATATGGAGCAGCGTAGGGAGAAGCTAAGTATGGAGCAGCGTAAGGAGAAGCTACATATGGGGCAGCGTAAGGTGAAGCAACATATTGAGCGGCGTAAGGTGAAGCTACATAAGGACCAGCTGATGCAACCAATGGAGCGGCAACTGGAGCAGCTAGTTTTGCAGCTACAGCTACAGGGGCAGCTACGGGTGCAGCGATGGCGTGGTTGACGACACTGGCACTGTACGAAGAAGCGTAGGGAACGGAGTATGCTGCAGGTACGGCAGCTGGGACTGCCACTGTTGGGCCTCCCAAGCAGCCTGTGATGGCGAGAGAAGCGCAGAAAGCGACGAACTAGAATATAAAATAAAATTTATTTTTCTGTATTTGCTTTTAAAGAGACCCCTTTTAATAAATTCATTTAACTAATGGAGCCTAACACAAATTGTTTGGAACAGTAAAAGTCGCATACCTACACAGCTAATGGGAAGAGATATCATCAAACGATTTATTTTTTAAAGAATTTGAATTTTCTCGACCCGACAATGAAAATAGTTTGAAAAAAAGTTAATGTTTTTATTTTCTATTAATGAAATAGCGGTAACTCTTAAGCTATTCTTGAACAGATAAAGCCTATTTCGGTAGGCAGGTACATATTTTTTTATATCGAAGACTATAAATTATTGCTAATAAGACGATTGGAATAGCAAAAGTTATATCAGAATATATTAGGAATTTGAAAACCTTTGGTAAATACTAAACAAGAATTGCGACAAGGAGGAAAAGTTACAGTACTAAAACAGAACCAAAAAACATAAGGATAATTGAACAAACATGAAAATAAAAAAGAATAAAAAAACCAAATATATAATACAAATTCTCTTACCAAAGTTTGTGAAACCATTTTGCTTAAGCTGTAGTGTTTGACCGCTAAACGAAGTCTGATAACCACTGACCAAAACCCACAAAATTTATACCTATAATGGTTCCGAAATGACAGTTCTATGGGGTGATAGGCGGAATGCTAAAACAACTATTATTTCGTTACCATTCTCTTGCAAAATAAGGTCAATTGGACAAAATTTCAAAGAAGATCGTATTGTGAATAGATATTGACTGATTGGTATGCACAAACAGTTCACCGATTGCCTAAAAAATGAGAAGGTTTTTTTTTGCGATGACCATACAAAATAATTTATGTCAAGCAATAAGAACTTATCCAGGCTTAGATGGATAGGCTATAAAATACCCCAGGGACACATTTCCTTTACAAACACAATTGTGTTATGCGCAGCAAGTCATCCATATATCTTTTTAGCGTTTATTGATTTATCGATACTTACTGGAACGATAATGGCACCAATCTAATTGTAGCAATACAAAAAAAATGCAAAACCATCCGTTGTCTGTGGTCTTGTGAAGACGTAATGACAGTGACTTTAATAGGGTTCTTAAATTAAAATTTAGTGCGGATACTTGGTTTATTGGATTGATGAATCATTTTCTTATGTTTATGGCATGAATACCTATTTTATGTCAATCATGAATCATTGGTAGAGTTTATATGATACATACTTTAGTATGAAACATGTGGGTATTTTTAAATTTCAACTCTCTCTAATTTAATATATTGGTAGGTTAAAGCAGTAGTTAACTTAGCTAATTCTCCAAGTTCAGTCACCCGAAGAGTATTGTGTTCCCTATTTATGACGCTGGCCACGATTTACGATGCTTGGTTCGGTTGTCTAGTCTGCCGGGCGGGCAGGCGAATCCTCCTTTTCTTCCTCATCTTCTACTTCTTCTTTAGAAGAAGCGTAAAACACTCGAATGCCGATGGAACAAACGGACAGCAAATAAACTTTAGAACAACGGAACATTCCTGATTCCTATTAATATACTATTATATGTATGTATGCAGTTATTATTAAATTCAGGCTCTTTCTATCCTCTAGAAATGTTTTATTGAATGTTGGAGAGTATTAATGTGACACTTGCAAAGTAAAATTTAAACGAAAAGACGTTTTGAAGAGGCACATGTTAACTCACTCGGATATTCATCTTTTTGAATGTGACACTTGCAAAGCAAAATTTAAAAAAAAAAGGCGATTGAAAAATGCATATGTTGACACACTCAGATAATTATCCTTTCGTATGTGGGACTTGCAAAGCAAAATTTAAAAGAAAAGGCGATTTGATGAGTCACAAATTAACACACTCGGATATTCGTCCTTTTGAATGTATAACTTGCAAAGCAAAATTCAAACAAAAACGCCATTTGACACAACATACACACATACACTTGGACGAAAAGAACAATTTCAAATGCAACATATGTAACACCAAATTCAGAACCAGGGGTAATCTAAAACAGCATTTAGTGACGCATTCAACTTGAGTGAAAATTTGGATGTAACTTTTGCTCCGCTAAATTTATAGCACCACCAGAAAGAACAGCATCTGGACTCAGAAAATGAGAACAGGAAGTTGAAAGCAAATGTTGAAAAGAAAAAAATTAAAAACAATACCAATGTATCAAGAATGCCTGTAAAACTCAAAACTCGGTCTTTCCTTCTTTCTTTCCAGACTTCTGAAGTGCATATATAGAAGTATTAAATGACGAAGCAAGATGGAGACCAGCAACAATGCAATTGCTAAGAAAAGTTTTTGGAAAAATTTCCTAACTGAATATCCACAATGTTCTCACTATTTGGGACCGCCCGACTTTTCTTCCAGAAGAAGAATGTGTGGAAAATAAAATCAGTGGCTTGCCATTGGCATAATTATATAGTATTCTCATTTCAAAGCACCCATCGTATATTAAAAATTTAAATAGGTAACAAAAACAAAAAATTTTATTCATCACATAAAGGTACTGACTGACAAAACGTGGCCCTCGTATGTGGGCAGTACCCGCGTCAGCCGTGGTACCCGGCAAAGTTCAACGGCGCATTGTTAAGTATTATTACGATTACGGATAAAAATTAAAGCACCTTCAAGTCGATCATTATCCCATCAGAAATTCAATGCTTTCTAAACCATAATTGCATCTTGTCCGCGACGTGTTGACTATATAATTTATTGTCAACCATTGTTGGAGCTGCAGTCATTATAGAAAATGATGCGCCGCTTTAGATTCAGCGTTTATTTGGTTCAGTTTCGAAAAGAGCCCGAGGATTATACAAGGTAGGTTTAAAAACAAGCGAATAGAATTTTATTAAGTTCTTCGTCTTCTAGGACAACAGAAAAAGCGCCACTTTATAGCGAAATTATTCAGTAGAAACACATTTGTTTCGGAAAAAAAAAGGTTTTTACCGCTCCGATCGGCAGCGGTCAACGATAAAAGATCAAAAATTTATTCGACCGTTTCTCCGGTAAACTGCAAAAGTAATGGGCGCGATATAAGTTGATTTTCGTATAAATCACATGTAGCCGGCCATTCTGCCTTTTCTTTTTATCAGTTTTTAGTGCTAAGTAGTACCGGTGATTACGGACGGTAGCAATCGGTACGGTGCTACCAGGGTTATATTAGAAATTTAATGTAAATGCTATTTAACAACTCTATTTAGTTTGTTGATGCAGCTTCTGGAGCCTACAAAACTTTCATTGAATGAGACCAGAGCACGAGATAAATACGACTTCAATGTTTAATTGGTGCAGTTGACTTAACGTTGTTGGAATTGATGCAGCAGTGGTCTTGATATATACTATTGAGACCGCAGAAAAATATGAATCAAACAGATCAGTCAAAACAAAAGTAGAGCATCTTAGAGAATCCACTACCAGTTTTTTTGGGGAGCTAAAACAGATGGAATTCCTGTACAAAGCTCTCATAATCAGCTGGAGTACAGTTGATAGAACCATCATCAGGCTTGCACTTATCAGTTCGTATATATTTTTACTTTAAATGGCATTCCCACCAGGAGGTACTTCTTGATGTAAATCTCGTTGTGTTAAAAATATGTAGTTTAGTAGTAGTCTGTAGCTGTACAATAATCGCTGACAATGCCAGATGAACTACCTAATTCATTCGAAAAACGTACTGACTTTTCCAATTTCGGATTTGCTCCTGATGTTCGTCCCTCAAAAAATCAACTCCATCTGCTCCTAGTTTAGAATACCCTCCATCATTTTGCTCCTCCATCTAATAATCTCTGAAAGATGAAGTAGGTGTGAGGAAATGTTGCGGAATCCGGAAAAGTATTAGAAAGTCAAGAAGCAATATAATATAATGAAGTATAAACAACATAAAACGAGTTAAAAACAATAATATTGATAGGTGAGACTCAAAACATGACAAACCAGTACCCAGTTTTCGCTGTTGATCCAGCTATAGAAATGTTTCGGTGCTAACGCAACTCCTAGACAGGAACAAGGTACCTCAGGCACTGATAACACTGGAGCACAACAAACTCCAACAGCTACTGCGAACCAGCAGCAAAAGGGGACTAAGACAATCCGATCAGAGGGATCAACACCATATTCTTCTTCTTTGCGGAAACCTTAAGGCTTGTTTTACCCATTTATTTGTCCCTCCTGGGATGCCGACGACAAGCTGTGCTTCCACCTCTTGGGAGGCCGTTCTGGTGGTCTGCTGGATGCTGGTTTTCCATTTCTGGCGATTTATGTCAGTCTGTGGTTTTCCATCCTGGATATGTGCTCGTTCCAGAAGCGTCTCCTAGCGCGTGTCCATCTGACCACGTCCTCTGTCTTGCACTCTTCCCTGATTTCGTTACTCCTTCTTTGATCCCAAAGTGTGTTCCCTGTGATCGATCTTAGTATTCTCATTTCATTGGTTCGTGCCATCCTTTTTGTTTCAGCTGTGTCAGCTCGTGTTTCTTCCGTGTATGTCATTACGGGCCTGACACATGCTTTATATATTCTAACTTTTGTCGGGGTTGATGTGCATGTATTTTTCCATATGGTTGTTCGTAAGGCTTCTGCTATCCTGGCTGCCTTGTTTACCTGGTTTCGTACGCCATTCTTGAGTTCACCGTATGGTGATATTGTTATTCCCAGATAGTTGAATTCAAAAACCTGGTCTATCATTTTTTTGTTTAGTTCCAGTTTGCATCTGCGTGGTTCCCTGGCGATCACCATGCTTTTTGTTTTGTTGGTAGATATATCCATATATCCATTGCAGTCCGTCTTCCGTGTCCGTGAATAGCGTTGCGTCGTCTGCCTAACATATTATTTTAATTTGGTGGTTTCCCATCTTGTATCCCTGGTTTATCTTGCAGACTTGCTCTATTATTCTGTCCATTATGATGTTGAACAGTAGTGGACTGAGACTGTCTCCCTATCGTATCCCTGTGTTTTGTTCTATTTTTTCTGTTGTTGTTAATTTTGTTCGTATTGTTGTGGTGTTGTTTGTGTTGAGCTTTCTGACCGTCTCCGTGATGCTAGGGTGAATTCTCCTGCGGTCTAGCTCGTTGCTAACGTCCTCCAGTCTTATTCTATCGAACGCTTTCGTCAAATCTAGAAAGCACAGATATGCTGGTTTGTTATACTCTATTGCCTTCTCTACCACCTGTCTGACAACGAACACTACGTCAATCGTCGAGCGGTTTTTTCGAAAACCCTGCTGCTCCTCGCTTATTGTGGTGTAACTGAGAATGCGTTGCTGCAGCATACGGGTAAACAATTTCATGGTCGTGTCTAGAAGTGATATTCCTCGGTAGGCCGCTGGTGTATTTTCGTCCTCATCACTCTCACAAAACCCTCAAAAGATTGCGAAACACAATCAAGCTGCAACAAAACCCAGTAAACCAACTGGGGCCAGTTATAGCAAGGCTGTGTCTGTCATCACAAGTAGTATCTATCCTGACACTAAGATGACAGCAGAACAAGGGAAAAAGGTACAGGAAGCTATCCTCCAGGAAACCTGGAAGTGCCAACCTGGAACAGGACCCAAGTTCAAACATAGCCAAGCAGAACATGACATGGTTC